CTCTGCCAATGTTATTTTATCAGGATGGTTTTCCAGCCACTCTTATTCCCAGGGCATTGTCTTGTTTGAAAAACAGCCTGAATGAGTGATAACCTGAATATGTGGGAGATTTGTGGGGCCCTGAGGCCTGGCCAGCAAGGCAGAGCTGCCCACTGTGTGCTGTGCAGAGCCGTCCAGAACACCCATTTTCGCCTGGGCTCCAACTTGCAGTGGGAAGTAGATACTTGAGCACTGGGCAGTCCCTGCTTCCCCAGCCCTGTAGCCTTTCAGGAGTGGAGGAGGCACTTCCTGCAGCTAGTGATTGTTCCCAAAGCCCCAGAAGCTGGGCATCACCCTCTGTCCCAGCTCAGGGACTGTGTTTGGGACCCCTGTGCCTGCCTGCCTGCCTGCCTGGGCATCTTGGGGATAAGAACCAGCAGGGGTAGTCCTGGGCTTACCACCATGCCCCTCCCTCACCCGCGTTACCGGCTGCCTCTAACACAGCGCAGCGTCTGTCCCTTCTCTCCACTGTGCGCCGCCCATTGCTGTAGGACCTGTAGTCTCCCCAGCCACCAGCCCAGGCCAAATCCCACAGCCTCTGCCCAGCCAGAAACACGGCTGACCCTTGGTTTCCACTTTGCCGTAGACGGTTGCTTTTCTAAGTAGATACTAGCTTGTTTGCTTTGGGGAAGGCACCTGGGGGCCGGGAGGGAGGCTTTAACCCTGGCTTGAGGACAGGGAAGCTGGAATCAGCCAGCCTTGGCTCATGGGGCCCTGCCCAGGAGGCCACCCTCCATGCTGCCTGGAGGACCGTGTTGGGGTGAGCCTTACAGTGGCACAGCAGAGGACCACATACCTAGGCCGACCCCCAACCAGCCTCAGTCACACTGTCCTCACCAGATTCTCCCCACCTGACCCTAGGGTTAGAGTCTGGCCCTCTCAATTCTGGTGCAGCATTTAGGGAAATTTAGGAGCTCATGAGGATCTAAATGGGCCCAGGGAGGAGCACCTGAGCGGAGCCCTGAGCTGAGAACACCTGGCAGTGAGTGGTCCAAGCTCCGCATGAGAGGCGGTAGCTGCTGCTCTTGTCTGGGACACAGATAGGCAGAGCTGCCATGGGGACCACCACATCCTGGGCATAAGGAACGGCTGGGCAGACCTTGGCCTGAGCCCCCTGGACGGGGGTGGGGGTGGAGAGAGGTGGGGGGAAGCAGGCCAGGGAGGGCTGTGCCTTATTCCTGGGAAAACGGAGGCTCAGTGGGCAGGCCGTGTTTCTCTCCTGAGCCGGGACAGCCAAATCCCTCATTTAAGCCCCCTGAATGGAAAAAGCTCAAACTAATTTGCAGAGTAAGCAGCACCCTGGCTCCTCTGCCCGCTCAGCAAGCAGGGAGGAAACCACCCTCAAAGAGGCAGCAGCCTCGGCCCATGTCCCCCAGTGCTGGGTCCCAGCAAAGCAGGGAGAGCCCAGGTTCGAACAGGAGGCCATCTGGAGACTGTGACCAAGTGTCCCCCCCCATGGTAAATTGTGGCCCTCCACCCTTGGGGTGGGGGACCCTTTCTGCTCTGTTCCCTTCATCCCCCCTCATCTGTGGCCACTCACCTGGGAGCTCAGGTGTTGGAGCCGGGGCACAACTGCAGGTGCTGGGGAGCCTGGCAGCCTCAGCTGCCCTTTTCTCCTGGGGTCTGTCCTCGGCCTACTGCCACCTCTCCCTTCTCAGGCGCCTCTTTGGTGACCCAGTGCTACTCCCTGGATGCCTCTCCCCCTGCCAGCAAGGGAGCCGCTGTGCTCGGTGCTGACAGCCAGCTGCTATCTGGGCTTCAGCTTTTTTGTTGCTGGTTGTCCAGGAGATCCAAGTGTCAGATTACACGGAGCGGCCACTGCCGGGGCAGAGCCAGTGCCACAGGAACGCAGTCCTGCCGAGAACTTGTCCTGCCCAGGAGGTCTGAGGAGTGAGCCCGCGCCCTCCCTAGTTCCTCCTCTTCCTCTCCCTCCTGGTGGGTGTGTGCTAAGCCACGTGGGCTGGGCCTGGCCGCGAGCTGATGAAAGAGGAGGTCGGTTCTCTGCTCCCTGGCAAAGCGGACCCCAGGGAGGTTCCCTCTGAGGTGTGGAGTGGGGAGGGAGGGAGGCCCACAGCTCCCCCAGTTCCTTGGCTCCTGCCCTACTCTTAGGAGGGCCTTTGGCCCACATCCCCCACCACCCCAACCAGCACCTCAGGCAACTCCCTGGCTGGTCCCTCCCTCTGGCCTCTCTAGGGAAAGAAAGTAAATAGTGGGGGGGAGGTGCCAGACCACCCAAGAAGCCGGCCCCCGGGGAGGTAGTCTGGGGAAGAACTTGGGAGTCCCAGTGACGTGGGGCAGCCCGTGCTTGGCCTCCTTGCTGGGAATGGGCGTCATGTTCCTCTGGCTGGGAGGAAGGAGGACCCTGCTGGCCTCCTTGCCAAAGAGTGTGTGCTGGGCCATCGCTGCACTCTTGTCCCTGCTGTCAGGGGCAGGCTCCAGAGCCCAGGCTGGGCCCTTTGACATTTGGCCAGTTGTGCCACCCCAGCCGACCAGACTGTGCCTGGAACAGGACAGGAGCCGACCCGAGCCGGCATCTTTGAGCTGTCAATGGAGCTCTTTGAGTGTGAGCACAAAACCCCAGTGAGTCGGCTTGGGGGAGGGGGAGGGTAAGGAAGCCAACCTTGTGGCCACACCACTTGGATGCCAGAGCCTCCCAGAGGCGAAACAGGCAGCCACTGTGCAGAGGTACAGACCAAGGCGACAGAACATGTTACACATTCGTTTTAGGAGCGATGGCAACATCGCCCTCTGCTGGCCGTGGTGGCCTCCTCGCTGTCTCCTGCGGTTCAGAGCGCATTCTTCACTCAGCCAAGCAAGCAGCCAGCCCCGGCTTCCTAGGGGCTGGGTAACTATCAGCTCCTGTTCCTGGAGGCTGCTCCTCAGGGTCTCAGCTGCTTAAAGGGTTTCTTGCACTAGTTATTTTTGTCCCTGGGGTGTGGCACCCGGACAGCTCTGCTCCCACCTCCCCACCACCACATTCTTGTGACTAGACTGGCCATTTGTAAGGGATTTGATAGAGCTGTGGCCCCTCCCGGGGCCTCTGCACCTGCCCCACGGAGCGACTGTGCCCCCAGCCTGGGGAGTCATAGTAGAGACAGCTGGAAGCTGGCATCCAGGGGCCTGTGATGGTGGAAGGTGAGGTGAGGATTCACAGTGACTAGCAGACAGTGCCAGCTCAGAGCAGTCTGCTTCCTGCTCTCGGGCAGTCCCCTGGCCCAGACTGTGTACACTGGGCCAGGCAGAGGCTCCTTGGGAACAACAAGGAAGAGTCACTGAGAGACAGAAGCAGAGCTGAGTGCTGAGGCCAGGGCAGGGCCACCTTCTGCTGTTCCCTCCCTCTCCCAGTCCCAGAAAAGTTAATAATAGTAGTAAGAGTCCTTGCTGGACTGCAAACACTGTGGGACTGCAAACGCTATGGGACGGGCTTAGGAGCGTCATCTCCTCGGCCCTGACACAGCCCTGGGGGCTAGTGCTCTTCCTGCACCTTCTACAGCCAGTGTGCTTTGGCTTGGAGAGGGGAGATGCATTCCCCAGGGTGCAGCCTCCGCAGCAGAGCCCGTGCTCCTCCCAGGGCTCCCCACTGCCAGGGGACCGGGGGGCGGGTCCCAGAGGAGTGCATAAACCATAGAGAGAGAAGCAAGACAGAATCAGGGTCACCCTGGCTCCTCTGGGTTCCCTGTGCTGCGTGACCTTGGGAAAGCGCCTTCACCTTGTGTCCTCAGCTGTAAAGTGGCAATCAGGACACCTGTGAGGCTCCTGGGTGAGGAGTCCGTCCGTGATGCTTAGCACAGTGCTGGACACATAGCAGTGCTCAGCCCGAACTTAGGGACTGCCGGGTCCCTCACCCCGTGTCTCTGCCACACTGCCTGCCTCAGGTGCCGCCATGCCGCCATTGCCAAGTACTTCAGGGATGTGCCCCCCGCCTGCACCAAGGGCTGCGACCACTGCCAGAACCCTGCAGCTGTGCGGAGGCAGCTGGACACCTTGGAGCACAGCAGCAGCTGGAGCAAGACCTGCATCGGGCCCTCCCAGGGCAATAGCTTCGACCCTGAGCTGTATGAGGGAGGCCGCAGGGGCTACAGGGGCTTCAGCAGGTGAGGGACTGTGAAGCCAGGGGCCTCCACCCTCTGAAAATAGTCCGGCATTCTCTCCCTCGGGCCAAGGCCAGGCCAGAGACAACACCATGCCACAGCCCATCCCCCTGTACCATGGGCCATGCTGGGGCTGGGACCTCAGTGCTGCCTCAGCTGCCTGGGCATCAGGGACATCACTGCCTCTCCTGAGGTGTGGGGGGAGGGCTGCTCATGCCCAGCCTGCCCCCTAGGTATGACGAAGGTTCTGGAGGCAGCGGGGACGAGGGCAGAGATGAGACCCACAAACGGGAATGGAACCTCTTCTACCAGAAGCAGATGAGTCTGCGCAAGGTGAAGGGGGTTGCTCTGTGGGGTCCTGGGTGCCTCCCGCTCACACCCTCTCGAGCCCTTACCCGGGGCTGACCTGGGTGCGGTCCTGCAGTGGGCAGGGTGCCTGACAGTCCTTCCTGTTGTCTTCCAGGGCAAAGACCCGAAAATAGAAAAATTTGTACCCCCAGGTCAGTATAGAACTGTCCCCAGGGGCTTGTGGGCTGTTTCCTGGGTGTGGATGGAGGATGCCTCCTTGAGGGGCTGGGGACTCCAGAGAGCAAAAGGCAGAGTGGGAAGCCTACCTCCTTTCCACCTAGATGAGGACTGTCCCCTGAAAGAGGCTTCTAGCAGGAAGATCCCCAGACTCACTGTGAAGGTAAGAGGTGGCAGCTCCTCACGCCTGCCCCCCAACCTTAAGGCTTGTGTGACCAACTTCTCTCCCCCGTGCAGGCCCGTGAGCACTGCCTGCGGCTTCTGGAGGAGGCTCTGAGCAGTAACTGCCAGGCCGCAGGTACCACTGACAGGTGAGTTTCCCAGGCCATGGGGGCCGGGAGGGCCCTCCAGTCCTGTTCCTGTGGAAACTCCAGGAACCCTGTGCCCCCTGGCTTGTTTGGGAGCGCCTTCCCCTATATCCAAGGCATTCCTACCAGGCTCTGAACCATCTCCAGGGTCCCCAAGGAGAATCCAACAGGAGCTCACCAGGGAGAGGGCTCAGGCCTGCCTGACACCTCCCACTCCCTCCCTCAGACCTGACCTCCAGGCCAAGGCTGTGGAGCTGGAACATGAGATGTTCCGAACTGCCAAGGCAGCCAACCTGTACAAGGCCAGTGTACTGAAGAAGGTGCGCCCGGGCAGGGGTGGGTGGAGAGTGCTCACAGTTAGGGTGGGAGAGGCAGCCCCTCCTCACTCCCAGGCTGGCTGCCTACCCTCTGGTCGGGACAACCCAGAATCCCCCCCTTACCCAAGAAACATTTATCTGGGGGGAGCCCACTTCCCTTCTTTGCAAGCTGGAGGTATTTGTAGCCAGGCCCACGAAGACTGGACCCTGTCCAGTTGCCTGCAGCCGTGAGCCACAGAAGCCCACGGTGGAAAGCCTGGGTGGGGGGCTGCCAGGAGCTAGTGGGTGCCATGGCATGCCTGCCCATCCTGCCCCAGGTGGCTGAGATTCACAGAGCCTCCAAGGACGGGCAGCTCTACCACATGGCAGGCGGTGCCAAGAGCTTCAGTACCCAGGCTGAGTCCCGAGAGCACACCGAGCACGACATCCTGCCAGCCTCCCAGGTGTACTCGGTGAGCAGGGTCCGGGCGTCCACCCCAAGTGTGGGTCTGGGAAACGCACCCTCTGCCCTCAGCTAGGGCACAGCACCTTGCCCCCGCGGCATCACTGTCCTGGCAGCTGCATCTGCCAACTGTGTCTCCAGCCCCCCAGCTCTTCTCTCCTCAGCCTGACTCCCCAGGGGTGTGGTGCCCAGCTTTTCCCTCCCCCACCCCTCATATCCCCACTAGCATGGCCATACCTGGACCAGCCCATGATTGCCCTCGGGGGGCCTGGTGGTCAGAACCCTCTCTCCTCCTCACAGTTCAAACCCAAGCGGATGGGAGCTGGTTTCCCCAAGGGCTCCAGCACATTCCAGACGGCCACAGAGCTGATGGAGAAAATACAGGCCAAGGAGCAAGTCCTCCAGCCTGTGCAGAAAAGCGAGCAGGAGCTCCCCAGCCAGCCATGTGGCCTCCGGGATGAGGAAAGCTGTGAGACCATCCCTGGGCCCAGAGGAGAGACCCTTGGAAGTGCTCACTGTGGGGGCCCCTCCCCTGAGAAGAAGGCAACAGGCCCCTCGAGGGGCAGTCCCACTGCCAAGGCCCGGGCCAACAAGAGGCAGCAGCTCCTTGCTGCCGCGGCCTGCAGGGATTCTCAGAATATCGCTCGCTTCTTCCGCCAAAGGGCCGAGAGCCCACCTCCACTTGCTTCAGCCCCAGGGGCTGAAGGTGCCAGCCCTTCCGGTGATGGGCTACAGGGACCCCCGGCTGTAGCCCCAGAGAAGTGCCCAAGGGAGAATGATGGAGCCCCGGGACAGGTGGCTCTCCTGCCCCAGGCTAAGTCGTGCGCCAGGGAGGGGCCCAGGTAAGGGCACTGGTAGTCCTGGAATCCTCTGGAAACCCCTCTGCTAACTGGGCCTCTGTAGCCCAGGCCCTTATTGCAGTGGGCTCTGCGGGGCTGCCTGGGCTGAGGGCACAGCTAATACCTGGAGTTCTGACCCCTGCTCTCTCCTTGGCCAGTGTCTGTCCACTCAGAGACCCAGGGCCCCCTAAAGCCCGGCTCATCCCCACAGAGGAGACACCGAGGGGCAAGCGGCCCAGACCCCAGCAGGTACTGACAGGGCCACAGCAGGAGGGAGGAGATTCATGGACCAGGCCCGCATCTGCTCCGCTCTGGGTTAGGGGCTTGGGGAAAATCGGGTCTTCCCATATCCCAGGGGCAGCTGGGCTGGGCTGGAGGGAGCCAGCAGGTGCTGTGGCCCAGTCTTCCAGAAGGGAAGGGGACAGTGACAGGGATCCCAAGAGTGACCCTCTGCTATTGCCCTGCCCAGGAGAACTCAGAGAGCCAGGCTCCGAAGAGGCCTCGCCCCTCTGTTGATGCCTCCGTTTTAGCTGAGGCCAAGGACAACATCTTGGCCGGTGATCAGGGCACCATGAACCACACAGCCCAAGGCTCCTGCCAGTTCCCAGCTCCTGGCATCTCCCTGAAGGTGGCTGCGAACATTGTGGTCCAGTGCCTGACCCCTTTCTACAAAGAGGGCAGGTTTGCATCCAAGGTAGGCTAGGTGGTGGGCTCCGCCCTCCCCTGGGCTACGCGGCACAGTGCAGGGAGGGCAGGGAGCGTGAGCCCCAGGGAAGCAGTCCAGCCCTGAGGCCAGCCGCCTCTCCCTCAGTCTGTGTTGCCCTTTGGTCATGGCTGTGGGTTGCTCAGGGAGCAGAGCAAGGTTCTGTACCTCCGCTTCTCTTCACCCTCTGCCTCCAGGACCTGTTTAAAGCCTTCGCCCGTCACCTCTCACACTTGCTAGCTCAGAAGCCCTCTCCTGGCAGGAGCGGTGAGTGCCTGCATTGCCAGGCCAGGAGGCACTGGGGGGGTTCTGGGGGAGGAGGCTGGCCCTCACATTCCCCCACCCTGAATCTGTAGTGAAGGAAGAGGCCCAGAACCTCATCAAGCAGTTTTTCCATGGCCGGGCCCGGTGCGAGAGCGAAGCTGACTGGCACAGCCTGTGTGACCCACAGAAATGACCAACTGCTGCCCAGCGGGGCCAGTGTCCTCCCCAGACTCTACCATTGGCCAGCCTGGGCCTGACTCAGGAACAGGGAAGGTGGACGCCAGGGGCATCTCTTTTCTCAGGGTCCGTCCCTCTCCCCACCATTGCCTTGCTGTGGAGATGGCCCCAGACACCTCCCAAATCAAGGTCAGAGGCCAGAAGTCAGCCTGTCTTTCTGTCTTCTTGCAAGGCCCAAGGCCCTCTTTCTTCCAGCCTCTCCTGGCTCTTGTGGCTGGGTTTTCTGAGGGGGTCCCCAGATTAGAAGGGCGTGGCTAGAGCAGCTGCTGCCAGGGGAACAGGAAGAAGAAACGGTCCCTCCACCTCTTGTACTTAAGTTGTAAGCCAGGGGCAAGGCCCACCTGCGCACGGCGTTGGGACACCCTTGGGGGGCCCTGTTGGCCAGGTGCAGAGCTCCCGCTCGGCTCGGGTCCGCAAGGCCAGGCTGGGCCGAGATGGCTACCAAAGGAATAAAGTTCTGAGATGCTCACATAGCCTTTTTCTCACACGAGTTTTATTTCCGCGGCAGCTGTTTCTCCCAGGTCTGGGTTCGTGCTGATGAGCCGGGGCCAGGTGGGCATCTCCCCCAGACTGAGCAACATCAGATGCCCAAGCCGAGTTCCTACAGCCCCTCACATGCCCCGGAGAGAGTCTCGTGACTCTCCCTGGTGATATCACTATAGCAGCCCCTCCCTCATGGCCACCATATGGGCCAGCTGGGCCATGCTGGGCAGGTTCCAGAACAGTCAAGCCATGAAGTCCAATCCAGAGTGACCTGACAGTACCCAAGGGAGACCATCGGATGAGATTTGACCCAGGGAGGGGCCCTTTCCTCCTCACTTCCCCCGTTGGGTGAGACCAGCCACTAGATGGAAGTGGCACCGTGGTCCAGCAGGAAGATGATGGTGTGCTTCAGCTCCTGGGCCTGCGGGGCATGGACATGTGAGGACAGGGCTCCCCAGCCAGTCCCCACATCTGCCCCCACCCACACTGCACCTGAGCAGTGGGCATCAGCCTGGGCCAACTCCGGGCATGCCAGCCCCAGGTGAGGCACTTGCCAGCTTCCCAGGCTGGTCAGAGGCCCTGGCCACTCACCTGCGGCAGCTCAAACCAGATGGTCTGGGGGTGGTCAGCAGAGCCATAATTGAGTTCCAGGCCAGGGGGCCCCCCTTCATCCAGGGGGCTCAGCAGATGGAGCCGATGCAGGTCTCTCAGGGCGATGGAGCAGCATGGTGTCTGGGGGCAGCAGAGACACAGAACTTGCTTCCTCTCAAGTGGCAGGAGAGGAATGCCAAGGGGTACACTGGGTCAGGAGCCTGGCCCACCTGGGAACTGGGGTCCATGAGGATGAGGTGCTGGCGGTTCAGTCCCAGGAGGCTGGGTCGGGGCATGGTCAAGTCGCTGACACGCAGCACCACGTAGACAGTGTAACCAAAGAGGGGCAGCTGGCTCACAGTCTCTGGGGGTGGAGGGTGGGGGGGAAGATGGGAGCTCTGGCCACTGGGGCCCTGGGACCTGCCCTAGTTGGCCCCCAGGTCAGGTGAGAGGGACAGGGAAGGTGGAGAAGCTTTCTCAGCCCCGCCAAGCTCCCCCCTTCCCTCTTGGGCCGCCTCCCTCCTCCCCCGTCCCCAGCAGCCCCCTTGCCCAAGACCCACCGATGAAGCTGATCTGTGCTTCCTGGGAGCTGCACCCTCGAAGCTGCCTCAGCTCCCGGTCCACCAGGCTCCTCATGGTGGCCACGTTTACCTGATTTTGCAGCGGCCTCGGCAAGTAAGTCAACAGATCGTGCCTAGGACACAGCCGGTCGGTCAAGGCTGGGCATACAGCCAGTGCTAAGTAAATGAACCAGTAACTGCCATGGGTGAGACTGAGGATCCAGACACAAAAATGAGGCGTCCATGCCCTTGGGCTTGGGGTGAGGAGGGCAGGGGTACACTGCCTCCACTGTTCCAGGCCCACCTGGTCAGGGCCGAGAAGAGTCCAGGTGAATGGCCTTGGCCTTGGATTGTGGGCTGAAGGAGAGGCCCTTGGGGTGGATGCTGAGGTGGACCTCAGCACAGGAGGGACAAGAGAAGTGACAAGGGGTTGGCGAGGCCGTGCTCACACTCACTCTGAGGGGGGCTCCTCGTGGGCCCTGCTGATGTGCTGCAGGGCAGCCAGCATAGCAACTTGGGCACCTGCCTGGGCGCTGATCAACAGCTTCCCCTGCAGGTAGTCCCGCCGCACCTGAGGGCAGAGCAGTGAGGGGCAACTGTGCCCTAAAGCCCCGCCAGTTCCTGCCACCATCCCCCCTCCTTGTGGGGGAGGGAGGCTTGGAGGTCCCCCGCCCAGGCAGTGCAGCAGCCCAGGGCCAGGTGGGGCTGACCTGGCTGTAGTGGGTGCTGATGTAGGTGGGGTTATCAAAGTGCAGCCGGGTGTCCCAGCTGAGCCGCCGGCTGTGCAGGCTAATATCCGGGTCCACAGCCACGTTGTTGAGGTACTCGTGGGGCCTCAGGGGCCGCACCAGCTGGCCTGCAAGGGAGCCCAGGTCTGCAGACCGCCCTGCCAGCCCCAGCATGGGAACTGCCTCACCCATGGGCACAAGAGTGGCCCCAGCGGGTGAGCCACCCTGACTCCCGCCTGGCGCCCTCCCACCGGCGAGGTGGCTCACCTTCCCCTTGGATGACAAACAGGGCGAATTCCTGCATCTCCTCAGGGTCTGTGATGCCCATCTTCCAGCACAGCTCCTCCAGCACCTCTGCTACCACCTGGGCATGGGGACAGTGCCATGACGGGGTGCCAGGAGCCCAGAACTGGTGCCCACAGCTTCCCTGCCTCCTGCAGCCCCTCTCTGGCGGCCCTGAGCTCACGGTGAAAGTCCCGATGTTGGTCTTGTAATCCACGCCTCCGGGCAGGTGGATCAGAAGCAGGCGCACCTTTTTCCCTTCCTGCCGAGGATGTGGCAGGGTCAGTCCACCATAGGTAAAGGCCCCAGCTCTCACCCCCCTCCAAGGGAGACCCAGATGCCCAGCCGCCTGCACCCCCAGTACCAGGAAGGCCTTCATTTCACCCGGGGATGGCAGTCGCTGGCGCCCCCCGTATTTGACTGTGAGCTGGAGGTGCTCCTGGCTGCTCTGGGCCAGCTCTGCGGAGAGGAGCCGGCCTGGGGGTCACAAACGTCTCCAAACCCCTCCCCAAGCAGCCGACACCCTAGCCCGGAAGCCCCTCCCATAGGCACCTTGAGTCCTGCCCGAATCCTGCAGAAACTTGGTCACGTAGGGCATCAGCGTGGTTGACGGGGGGAAGAGGCCGGCGAGGAGGCTGAGGAAGCTCCAGCCTCGAGCACAGAGTTCTCTGCGGGACAGAGCCCGGGCTCAGGCTGCGGGACCTCAGCAGCCGGCCGCCTGCCCGCCCCCCCTCCCCAGCAGCCCCCACAC